TGACGTAACAGATCTGGCGGTTGCTACTTCCCTCCGAGTGCGTTCAGCTGTCCAATGACATTGTGTGAGCGGCAGTTCGAAATGATGTGGTGTCTGGCTTCACAGGTCTCGGAGGAAGCCTGTGCTAGCCTTCACCCTCCTAGCGTTGATAGTATCATGTGACTGGGGGAGTCCTAACTAGCGGGTGGAATTGGAAACGACTAAATTAGGGAGAAAATTGGGTAAAAATAATAATAAAAAAAAAGAATGGTTTTAATGGTCTTTTTACAGCAGGACAAAATCTGCTCCATCCAGCAATACAAGAGCATCCTGCTGTGTCCACCACACAACTGGTTATAACCATAAGCCATGCTGAGTGCTTGGGTTTCCTGATTGACAGGCTTGGCTGTACCTCTGTTTTGAGAAATGTGATTTTTTAAATACATTTTATGATTGCTCCTTACCGTGTACACCTTCAGAAAAAATAAGGCAGTTTCATGTTGTTAACCCAGATGATGGATAGCTTCACTGGATGAGAACAGAGTGAGTGACATTCTTGTTACATATTTTTATCTGTGATGCCACTGACTTTCATAATGACTCTTGATGATACTTTCCTGCACTGGGGGGTTCAGGACCCCCTAGTTAACCTCTTGGACCCCTCGAGTGTCTCAAAATCAAAATCTGGGGGGTCTGTGAAAATAAACACATTATGACATCATGCTGTCCATTACAGTAAAACAGATGCTCAAATACAAATTAAGAGAAAGGGCACTGTTTAGCCTGCTTCACCCAAACCTATGTCTTTTACATGTTTAACTAACTAGAGATGCAGCACTGGTCTGCCTCAGGGTGGCACTGTAGCAAATTGTTTCACCCAGCTGGTCCTTCAAAGCTTAGTAACTGTGACTACACCTGGGACACCACTGTAACACTTTACATTATGTCATAGCATATTTTTAAATATGAACACTTGCCCAATTTCCCAAGAGTTTGGTGAAAAGACTTGCGTTGCTCATTTCTCAAACTGAAAACAAAAAAGATGTGCAAGATCTTAATTAATGCATAGAAGAGCGCATTACCAAACTAGAAAAGAGGATTTCCAAAAAAAGAATGATTAAATCTAACATCAGCACCACTGTGGTGAGTTAGCAGCCAGCCAATGCTGGAGTAGCCAGCTAACATAGAACCCCACCGAATACCAGTGAATATTTCACACACTGATCATAACATATTGTTGGGAATTAGGGGTGGGGGTGGGGTATTGGACAGCAACATATTGTCGTATTTACCACTATTAAAGGAGACATATCACACACCTCACAATGCTTTATTATTCAGCTATTGTTGGCCACACCTGCACCACACATAAGCAACCAAGGGTCTACTGCTTGTCAGATTGTTTGCAATCAGTTAATTGCCTCTATCATTACATCTACTGGTGGAAATAGGCCAGAATGCACCAGACATTCTTTGGAGTAAAAGAAAAAATTAATGCTAAATTATCAAGTATAATTTACGTTTAGTAAATTTTCAGGAGATATTTCTGAGGAGATTAGCTATACAATAATCCACTTGTATTTGGAAGGGAAAGTGAAAAGAAAAAGTGAAAAAACAAAAAAAAAGAACATTTGCAAAATGAGAAACTGCTGATGTTCTCTAAACAATGGACTTGTAAAAGAAATGCAACCAACTTCTAAATTGTTGAAAGGTGGTGACCCATCTAAATTAGATAATTATCACCCAATCTCTAAGCTGTCGGTATTGGCTAAAATTTTGGAATCTCTGGTTAGTGATCAGTTAAAGCAATATTTTGTCTGTCTATCAGTCTGGTATTCAGAAAAAATCATAGCACTGCTACAACTACCGCTAAAGTACTTAATGACATAATTAATACTCTTGATAGAAAATCATGTGGCGCACTATTCATAGATTTATCAAAAGCTTTTGACACTGTTAACCACAACATCTTATTGTCCCAATTGGCTAGTATTGGGTTGTCTGATAAGGTTATAGGCTGGTTTAGAAATTACAGATGTCAGCATATACTTTTTGATGTTTTTTTGTCTGAGAAGCTTGCTATTAGAAATGGGGTGCCACAGGGTTCCATTTTGGGGCCCTTGTTGTTCACAATATACATTAATGACCTAATGTAATGTAATAATGTCTTAAATGCTGATATGCATTTTTATGCAGATGATACTATTATCTATTGTTCTGCTTTATCACTGGCAGAGGCTCTTTCAAATTTACAAGAAGGATTTGTGACTGTTCAGCACCATCTTAGGTCTCTACGGCTTGTTCTTAATGATCAAAAAACAAAATATGCATTTCTAAAAACTTGATACAGAGATCATCTTTGCCACAAATGTATACACTGCTGGCCAGACCAATAGAATTAGTTTCATCTTATAAATATTTGGGTTTTATATTAGATGATAACCTGTCTTTTAAATTGCATGTGGAACAACTGATAAAGAAGTTTTTGCTTTACTTAACAGGCACAAAAAAACTATTTGAAGTTACCTTTTTACCTATTCTAGATTATGGTGATAATTTTATACGTATACTTCAAAGACAACACTGCACTCACTGGATTCTGTTTATCATTCAGCGTTAAGATTTATAACAGGCGCTAGCTATTCAGCTCATCACTGTCAAATGGTTGGATGGCTTTCACTTTCAGCGCGAAGACAAATTTGTTGGATAATTTTGTCTATAAAGCAATAATTGGTCAGCTTCCTTCATGTTTATCTTCTTTCATATCAACAAATAAGTCTTGATACAATTTACATTCTAGTAGTTATATTCAGCTGGATGTTGCAGTAGTACAGTCTGAATACGGCAAGGCAGCTTTTAGTTACAGTGCTCCATTTGCATGGAATGATCTGCAAAAACATTTGAAATTGGAGCAGTTTATTTCCTTGAGTGAATTTAAGATGATTGTTAAAAGAGCTGTATCATTCTGTTTGTTCTTGTTTTTAATTTGGTTTTGACCCTGATTTGATTCTGTTGGTTGTGGTCATGTTGTTTCTTTGCTGATTGTTTTGTGTGCTGCCTTCTTGGCCAAGGCTTACTTGTAAAAGAGATTTTTAATCTCAATGTGAATACACTAGTTAAATAAAGGTAAAATGAAAGACTGAACATTGAAGGCATGGAAAAACAAACTTTTTCAAAGATTTCAAAGACAAATTCCACATATGGCTGTTTAACACTGTTTCTAAACTGTGTACATGAAACAAAGTATTATTTATTGTGTTGAACACAACCCAAGCCCAGTCTACATCCCATTTAGCCACTGAAAAAAATTGTGTTACCACAGGGTTCAGGGTCAAGAGTCCATTTTGATATTATAGCTAAGCATATCACATAATTTATGAAAAAGGTAGTCTGGTATATCTTTAGCAACAGTGGTTGTTTTGATATTTTGCCTAGCTTGTTAAAAAAACGTGTTTGCATTATTACTCGAATGTGTATTTCTTAGTTTAAAATTTTCCTTGTCTCTGGCAACATCTCTATTTAAGTAAGAGAGGTTTAAGGACTGAAGTTGCCATTAAACTGCTTTGTATTTGTGTATTACTGATGTTTATTAAATCAAGGCATTATGGATTAGAAGGTCTGTAATGAAAACGCATAAGCTTAACAGAAACTTAGATTTGCAAAAATTCATCAGAAGCTCTTTGTTGTCAACACTAAGAATTTGAGTGCTCTTTTTCCTTCAGCTTTTACCAAGGGAAAAAAGAAGAAGAAAGAAAGAGTAATAGATATGAGAATATGATAAAATGATACATGAATGTGCAGTGGAAAAAAGCATGTTTGTTTTCATTAAGGTTGCATGGCCACTAATATATATATATATATATATATATATATATATATAACAAACGCAATGTATTACCACGTATGAAAGTGATTCAAATCTGATTTTTGGGTAAATGGACATGATGCTGCCACACTCAACACCTTTGTTACCTCTCAATTAATCCAACATGTTGCAATTAGCCAGCAATATCTGCAATATTAGCTTTAGATACATCATTTGTTGAAGAACAAACAACTATTTTGTGACTGTGTCAAGACAGATTGCTTCTTTTGCTGGATTACACTTGCTACTTCATACTGTAGCATGGGGGGAGCACAGAGGAAGCCTAGACAACTTGAAGTTTGTGTCCATAAGCCTCAAGGTGTCTTCCACCTACTTTCTTGGAGGGTTTTTCCATACCACTTTTTTCTTATGCTTGCTCGCTCAATATCTGCACCCAGAAACCTCTAAAGCTGCCTTTTCACCATAGAAAATCTAGCCAGGAACTGAACAATTGCTGAGAAAATAAAACATGCCACTTTTAAATAAATGGAATCCCTACATTTTTCTCTTCGAATAATTCCTCCAAACACAAAGCACACCCAAGTCATACAGGAACTGAAGTTTGAATTTTTTTTTCATCTTTTTTCTCAATCTGTAGTAGCTGTACCATGTCATGCTCTCCTGTTTTCTTTAGATTACTTTCAATAGCAAATACAAAGCTTTATTTATAAATGTTTGTCTGCATGAAAACATATAGAAATTGATGTCAGGTTGCGATTATTAACAAATTTTCTAATTTCATTTTATGGCACTATGTAAAGACTCTTAATAAATAAATACGGTTTTAACAAGTTATGCTCAGTGGGCTGTATTTCTGGTATTGACTAATGCTTTACTCAATATGACTAATATGACTAATATTACTATGAGTAAACAGGACATAATAGTAATAATAATAACATAACATAATAATAGTCTGGGTCAAAGAAATGACCAATGAATGCAAAGACAAAACAGTTCTAGAAAAATATGAGCATAATGGGGCGCAATAGTAATAATACACTTATTCAAGTTTGCAAGGAGCTTGAGAACATGAGCAAGTTTGCACATACTAGATGAACACGTTCTTCAACCGTTATATCCTCAAATTACCACACAGCCTACGACAGATTGCACACTCATTCATGCTATGTGAAGAAATAAACACTACTATAACTGGCCAAAACGAATGGTATTTTATTATCACAGAAGATGAAGTATTGTTACCTCATACCCATTCCCTCACTTGCAAAAGGACACTAAGCCATTCTGTCATTAGCACACATCTTCTCAGAATATAGATTAATTTGGTAATAAAAGTACTGCAGAATACCTCATAACTATAGGTATTACGTTTTTTTCTGTTTCCTTTCTAGATAATACCACCTAGCAGCCAGAAGGCGTAGGGTGTAGTAGCTAACCAACATGTGAGCGTGTTTAAGACTTGTAAGAGTCCTTTTTAAGTGCGTAAAATTTTTTAATGATAGTCCACAATAATGGGTTGAACCCTGAGTAATAGACTGGTGGTGGAAGAAAATCAACGGGAGCAAATTGAGATGGCAAGGAGACACTGGACAAGTAAAAAAGAAATGGTATCAATGCCTGTATTATTTTAACACAAAAACGACTCTTAAGAATAACTTAAACTTTGCATTCTGTTTATCTCGATACCCAAGATATAAAAATGAAAAGAAGGAGAACAGCTAGAATCGCTTCATCTGCCGTCTCTCCTGTCGTCTCTGCTTCTTCTCATTTGCCTCCTCTAGAGGTGCAGATGACTCTGAGGAAAACCAGGGACCAAGGAAGTTCACCCACAATAACTGCAAAGCCCGTGCAGGAGCCTGATGAAGAGAGAAGTGACAATTTTAAAAAAGAAAAATGTATTTCTGAGAGAAAACACTAAATTGCTAAATGTGGGTCTTACCAACAGCCAGAGGTACCAAAAGTAGGAAGAGAGGGTGCTGAGGACCTGAACTATAGCTGTTAGCAAAATGGCATCTTTAAGGTGCCTGCATGTAAATACAAATAAATTGCTTAGACCATGATAAATATCTAAATATTTACAATGAACATTAGTGTTTAAGTCATTGGACAGAGTAATTTTGATAGGTATCTGGTCCTTGAGATAACATGAAAGAACATGAAAGCAAAATGGCACTTACTCCGCCATGCCCTGCTCCATGTTGAGATCTATTCCTCCATCTAGTAAACTACCATCGCCAGCAAATACTGGTTTAGCCATGGCTGCCATGGACCTGTAGCTGCCAATGTAGACTACCAATGCAAACAACAGGAGGAGCTGGGGGAAAAAAAACAAACAAAAAAAAAAAAAACACCAGTTCACAAAGAGAGCAATTCATCAAGAGGCAGACAGATTAACATTATGTTTTTTGACAATACTATCATCTTTGTTCAATAAGCAGGAAAAAAAAACAAACAAATATTCATCATAGAAAGATTTTTTCTCTTTACACAATAACTAGGAATGTAATCTTCTCCACTATACAAATCAGCAAATTTCAAATGCTAAAATATACTGTGAAAAATTTTCACAGTAACATATGCTCTATATGATCAATATAAACAGTAAAGATATTTTTCATTTCTATTTGAGTTCACCATAAACCTTACCAAAACCAGCCTGAACTCTGCTCTTTGAGATCTACAGAGTTTGGCTCAAGCCCTCATCTAATACCAGTTAATTAAGGCCATTAGCATCTACGACTTATAAGGATAGAGATTAAGGTATACTGAATTGACAGAATCAAATTGTAGCTTTTAGAATCGATGCAGCACTCAATCAATGTAAATGTTACATTCCTAATACTAAGCTGCCATTAGTGTATTATTAATAATCATAACCTTACTAATAAGAGAAAACATAGGCAGGCCTGGATCATCAAGTTATTAGCCCCTGGACACAAATATTTGGTGGATCCCTACCTGGCTACCTTGGGTGGACTTTTTATGATATCACAGCAAGTAACATAAGCAACATAAACATAAGCCTGTGCAGCACCACACTATTTCGCACATATTAATGAGAACACAGACGAACATAAACCCAGAAACAACACAAACCCATAGAATATTTCCCAACAAAGCATGACTCCACTCTTAACAAGCAAACTTAGCTCAGTCAAGATGACAAATGAAAATCAGACCGCTGAAACATACATAAAAAATGAAAGGAAGCAGCAAATTTAAAAACCCTAATTGTCAAGCATCCTAGCTAAAGCGTACTGCCACAGCAGGCATAAAAAGAAAAACATTTCCATGTCTGAACTCTGATGACAATTTGCAGATCAGTGCCAACAAGGATGATACAACTTTATTCTTTAAAGTGGGTGGCTGACATTTTATATTTGGCTTTGCAAATGATCATCCTCTACTCTGTTGAAGTCTCGCTTTTACATATCCCCAGCCCAATCTTATATATATCTGGAGCTTCAAATTCAAACTATGTTCACAGGAACACGAAGTTGCTGCAAAAAAAACTGAAAGCTATCAAAGTAATGTCAAATAGAGGAACAGTGATTAGAGAAAAATTTAAACACACACTGAGGAAAGACGTGGAGAGTGTCAGGATTATGATCAGCCGTAACAGTGACAAATAAGTTAATTTTTCTGCTGTGCTGCTAGTAAAGTTTCCACTGTGAGTCAAAGCAGCTGTTTAGATTTTCTCATGACTGCTTACGGGGGCCCCCTAGTTGTTTGCCCCTGGGCACGTGCCCATAAAACCCATTGGATGATCCGGGCCTGACCACAAGCATAGGCCCTTAATTCAAACATACTGCACTTACCCATGTCCAAAACGAAGTGTCGTACAAAAGCAGATTCACAGCTGCATATATAGTCTGAAATTTGAGACGTGACAAAAGCAAAGTAAGGAACAAAATACCAAGGAACAGAGTGAGAAGGACATCAAAGAGTGGCTTACATTGGCTCCTAGTATGACTCTGGTGTAGAACTTCAGAGTGGCCTCATTTTCCTCATGGATTTGTTTCTTGCCTTTGGTTCCAATCTTACCTTTAGGCTGAGAAGTGACAATTCGTCCAAGAAATTAATGTTGCAAGAGCACCACATAAGATCAGAGTGTATGAATGCATTTCCGTTATGTGACATAATATTTTTCTAAACAAAACAGCAATTTTCTGCAGAATATTTGGTATAGTTTATATGGAAGCCCGTTTACGTAATGGGAAAGACAATAAGCTGACAAGTCATAATTATGCTCTTTCTGAACATAATCACATCATCATCTAAAAATAACTAAATCTTGCATAATTTTTACTTTTCTCAAAATAATGAAAAAACTAGTGCAGGTCAAACTATAATGCATCTGACAGGTTTATGAGTGGTGTCAGTAAGGTTATTGTTGCGGTCTTGTCAGTTGCACCTTGGTCTTTGTGATTTGTCTTGTATCAAAACTGCATGGATACAGTGGCATGCAAAAGTTTGGGCACCCCAATCAAAATTTCCGTTACTGTGAATAGTTGAGTGAGTAGATGGTAAACTGATCTCCAAAAGGCACCAAGTTAAAGGTGTGACGTTCTTTGCAACATTTTAAGCAAGATTAGCACATTAATTTTATTTTGTACAATTTTAGAGTGAAAAAAGGGAAAGGAGCACTATGCAAAAGTTCGGGCACCCCAAGAGATTTGAGCTCTCATAACTTTTACCAAGGTCTCAGGCCTTAATTAGCTTGATAGGGCTATGGCTTGTTCACAATCACCATCAAGAAAGGACAAGTGATGCAAGGTTCAAAGGTTTATGAACACTCCTTTATGAATCAGCAGCCATGCAGCCGGCAAGGTCAAATTGAGGTCTGGAAGACCAAGAATACTTGAGAACTGCTTGTAGGACTGCTAGAAAGACAAATCAAAACCCCCATTTCACTGCAAAAATACCTTCAGGAAGATTTAACTGTTCTACTGTGCAGATACACCTGCAAAATTATGACTTTTCTGAAAGAATCATCAAAAGAAAACCTTTCCTGCATCTTCACCACAAAATTCAGCATAAGAAGTCTGCAAGGAACATCTAAACAAGCCTGATGCTTTTTGGAAACAAGTCCTGTGGACTAACAAAGTTAAAATAGAACATTGAGTGCAATGGGCAAAGGTATATTTGGTGAATTTCTTAAAAAGAATACCTATCCAACTGCATGGGGGGGGGGATTGAACATACTTTGGGCTTGTGTTGCAGACAGTGGCACAGGGAACATTCGGAAAAATAGATTCAATTAAATACAAGCAAATTCTAACGGCAAATATTACACCATAAAAAAAGCAAGCTGAAGACGAAAGAGCATGGCTTCTACAACAAGATAACGATCCTAAACACATCTCAAAATCAACAAACTAACGCCATGGCCCTCCTAGTCCCCAGACCTTAACATCACTGAAAATCTGAGGACTGCTGAAAAAGCCAACTCACTGTTCTTTGTAATCGTCTTATCAAGTTGGCTTGAAAAATCCAAATTATTGTTCTTTGTAATCTTCTTACTAAGCTGGCTTAAAAAAAAATCAACTTACTGTTCTTTGTAATCTTTTTCTTCTTCTTATTATTATTATTATTATTATTAATTTGGCTTGGAAAAGCCTACTTATTGTGCTTCATAATCATCATCTTCTTATTACTATATGCTCAAATTTTGTAAACTTTTCACGGTCACAGTTTTTGACATACAACCACCAAATTTTGCACCAACGTTCCTCATATACAGGAAGCGTGCTTGTGCTTTTTGGAGATAATAGTTTTGTTTTTTGGACCTATCCGATGTATAGTTTGTGCAAAAACATTGTTTAAAAACAAAATTTTTCCCCAATGAAAAAAATGAACGGCCAAATGTTGAGAACACTCAAACTGCCACAAGTGATGTCACAATGCACATCTCTCACACAGACACTCATTCACAGTACACACAGACTCACATGCTTACAGCCTAATGCACAGCAATAACAGCAGAAATAATGAATTTAAGGTGGAAATGCTTTTAAGGTGGTACTGAATTTGAGGTGGAACTGTATTTAAAATAGCACTAAATTTAAGGTGGCAGTTAATTTAATGCATTTAATGTAGAACTAAATATATGGTGAAACTCCATTCATGGTGGCACTAAATTAAAGTGGTACAGAATTTAAGGTAGAACTTCATTTAAAATAGCACTATAGCATTAGCCTTGAATTTAAGGTGGAACACCTAGCAACACATTACCATCCACCTTTGATACCGTAGCAACCGCCTAGCATTTTAGCAACACTTTAACAACCTTTAACAGTCTTCCACCATTTAACGCAATTAGCTGGCTTTTTCAATTTTTCCCGTCCTGCAGTTCCACCTTAAAATCAGTGACACCTTAAATGGAGTTCCATACCTGAAGAGTGTGCTTGTGCTTTTCTAAGTGATCTGACATACTGTTTTTCTAAAATCAAATATTTTTTCCACATTGAATGGCAGAATGTTTGGGACATTCAAATCTAACTACCACAAATGATGTCACAAAGCACATCTCTCACACAGACACTCATACACAGTACACACAGGCTCACATGCTTACAGCCTAATGCACAGCAATAACATTACCACTGCACTAAATTTAAGATGACAGCATTTGAGGTGGAACTCCATTTAAGGTAGCACTAAAATTAAGGTGTCAGAGAACTGAAGGTGGCACTGAATTGAAGGTGGCACAGAATTTAAGATGGAACTGCATTTAAGGTTGCACTAAAATTAAGGTCGCACTGAATTTAAAGTGGAACTACAATTAACATAGCACGAAACTTAAGGACGCACAGCATTTAAGGGGCAACTCCATTTAAGGTGGAACTAAATTTAAGGAGGTCCAGAATTTAAGGTGGAACTCCCTTTAAGGTAGCCCTAAAATTAAGGTGGCACTGAATTTAAGGTGGAACTACATTTAAGGTGGCATTGCAATTAACATAGCACTAAATTTAAGGTGGCACAGAAATTAAGGTAGAACTGCATTTAAAGTAGCCCTAAAATTAAGGTGGCAACGAATTTAAGGTGACACTGCATTTAAGGTAGCACTATTATCAAGATTGCACTGAATTTAAGGAGGAACTCCAGGTAAGGTAGCACTAAAATTAACACAGCCCACACCACACACACCCCACACAATCACACAACACACAACACAATTAACATGCCCCACACCACACACACATTTTACAAACCCCTTACCACAGACTCAACAGAACACACAACACACACACACTCAACACTAAACACGGATACCACAAACAAACTACATATATCACACACTCAACACAACACACACAGACAACAAAAAAACACACATACAGCAGTTAAAGCCACACATGAAACCCTGGTAACAGCTCTATTTTTCACTCGTTTGAAAAAAGGACTGATGCTCTACTAACCACTTCAGCAGCACACTGTTTATCAACCATTTAGCATTGAAGTGCACAGAGGACTGTGTGCGTCTGTACCTGCTGCTGCGAACCCATTTCATTCTTTACCTTTTAGAGAAAACCAATACCACAGGGAAAGGGTGTAACAACCACCTGGAAAATTTAACCCTTTAAAGAAAGGAGCTGTAAAGATATGAAGTTAGCATATTGTCACTGTCCAAAGGAAAACAGGTATCTCCAAAACAGTAACTTTACAGGAGAAGGCAAAATCCTTTTAATATACCTTTTAATATAACAATGTAAAAAATAATTATTCCAAGTGATTTTGGAGCATTTCTATTGGTCCATTCATCATAAAATCTTTATACAACATAAAGGACAGGTGGTGTGTGGTGTGGTGTTGTAGAAAAAAAAACAACAAAATGGAGATATTGTTTTCTTTGGACAGCGACAACATAGGGTTCCCACTGGGAATGCCTTTACAGACACCTTTTAAGGTCGGGCAGCGTAATATATCTCTCTCCATCAAGCTAACCACACATTCAACCTTTCATACATCAACAGCAGCATTTTATATACTTTTTACAAGTGTATCCCTCCCCCCCAAAAAAAAAACTCCCAATAAGTCTCTGCAAAGCTGAGAACAATTATATACAAAATTCAGTCTGTACGCTGGCAAAGAGAGTCAATATTGGAACTCGGCGATCCCGTTTACCAACTAGGTGTCAAGGTTCCACAAGTTCAAAGTAATAAGGGAGAGAGAGTATGGTGAGTAATGAACACAGCCGATCTGCCCATGAATTGCCCCTTTTTCATGGATAAATAAGTTATTATTGATGCTATTAAGATAAAAAGAAATTAAATCAAAATTCATTGTGCACTTTTCACAGAGCTCTTGATAAGTGCACAGTGAATTTTGATAAGAATCTCTGAAGGCACTTGATATCAGTTGGAGTTGGGTACCTGCAAATGGCTGCCACCTTTTCAAGGTCTACTTCCATCCCCGACCTAAAACTACATGTCCCAGGAAGGTGATTTGTGTCTGTTATTTGTTGAAGACCGCATCCAAATGTTGGAGGGGCTGATCTGGAGTCTATGAGAAGACAATAATGTCATTGATGTAAACAAAGCACACCTTCTCCTTCAGCTCTTCTAACACATGTTCCATCAACACCTGAAATGTGGCAGCAGTGTTCTTGAGGCCAAAGGGCATAGCTTTAAAATGGTATAATCCTTGCAGGGTGATGATGGCTGTCTTCAACTTGCTTTCTTCATCCATACCTATCTGTCAGTAGCCACTGTACAAATATAGTATGCTAAAGTAGGCAGCACCCTACATTGACTCCAGGATATCGTGCACTAGGGGCATAGGGTAGGTATCATTAAACGTCTTGGAATTTAGACTACGGTAGTCCACACAAAAACTGAATGAATTATCCGGCTTTGGAACTAAAACCACAGCAGCAGCACATGAAAAGCCCATGATCTGAATATGTCACCTTTCAACATCCTTTGGACGGGTTCTCTGATGATGTCCTGTTTTTGGATGGAAGTCCGATAAACTCCTCTCCTTACAGGGATCTCATGCACGTTGATAACGCAGGGTTTGACCATCTTTGTGGACCCCACCTCCCAGTCA